TCACGCGCTCCAAGCACACACCAGGGATCCGCCCACCACTCCGCTCTCCTCTGCAGCCAGTGAAGATGTGCAGATGCATCAGGGGGACAGATCTTCATGGGGGGACAGATCTTGCTGCTATACCGGTCCCTCAGCCATGGTGGCCCTGCCCCTGCCCCTGTCCCTTTCCCATGGAAGTGTCCCTTCTGTGGGAAAGGGGGGGGCGGCACTGCCGCCGTGCCGCCCCCCTGAAAAGTGCCTAGTTTGCCTCGCGGCAAATACGCCCTTGCTCCCTCCTGCCAGACCAAGCAGCTTGCTATGGGAGCACCCAAGCAGGCTCGCTCCCCAGCTGCTGCTCTGTGTGTTCATTCACAGATAGAGCCATGGTTCAAGTCTGCCCCCTCTATCTCCTCATTGGTTTACTGGCTGTGATTGACAGCAGTGAGAGCCAATGGCTGGGGGCTGCTGCATGCAGAAGGTTCTTTTTACCTTCATGCATAGAATCCATTAAGATGAAAAATCTTGAGCCTTTGCAACCACATTAACCTAGCCATACAAGTTTTCAGTTCTTTTCGTTCAACTAGAGCAGCGGTTCTCAACCTGGGGGTCGAACGACACTTTCCCAGGGGTTGCCTAAGACCATCGGAAAACATATATTTCCGATGGCCTTAGGAACCGAGACACTGCTGCACTATCCGTCTCCAGGTGTGGGCGGGGTGACATGCCGTCCCTGTCATCTGGGCACACCCCCGGGATCAATCCTTCGCCGGTGATTGGCCGCCGGAACTGTAGCTCAGGAGAGGCACACAGGCGGCCAATCACCGGCGAGGAGGTGGAGCTTGGAGAGGAGGAGCCGAGCGGCACCGCGAAGATCGAGCGAGTGAAGAGGAGGAGAGCGGCCGGAGAAGGAAGACATCTGACCGGTAAGTGTCTGTACCATGGGAGAGGGAGGGAGCGAGCGAGCCCAGGCTGGAGCAGGGGTCAGCAAGGTATCATTGGTGTCAGTGGGAGGAATAGTGCCCCATCATTGGTGTCACTAATACCAACGATGGGGCACTATTCCTCCCCCCACTGACACCAACGATGGGGCACTATTCCTCCCCCCACTGACACCAAGGATGGGGCACTATTCCTCCCCCCACTGACACCTACGATGGGGCACTATTCCTCCCCCCACTGACACCTACGATGGGGCACTATTTCCTCCCCCCACTGACACCTACGATGGGGCACTATTCCTCCCCCCACTGACACCTACGATGGGGCACTATTCCTCCCCCCACTGACACCTACGATGGGGCACTATTCCTCCCCCCCACTGACACCAACGATGGGGCACTATTCCTCCCCCCACTGACACCTACGATGGGGCACTATTCCTCCCCCCACTGACACCTACGATGGGGCACTATTCCTCCCCCCACTGACACCTACGATGGGGCACTATTCCTCCCCCCACTGACACCTACGATGGGGCACTATTCCTCCCCCCACTGACACCTACGATGGGGCACTATTCCTCCCCCCACTGACACCAACGATGGGGCACTATTCCTCCCCCCACTGACACCTACGATGGGGCACTATTCCTCCCCCCACTGACACCAACGATGGGGCACTATTCCTCCCCCCACTGACACCAAGGATGGGGCACTATTCCTCCCCCCACTGACACCTACGATGGGGCACTATTCCTCCCCCCACTGACACCTACGATGGGGCACTATTCCTCCCCCCACTGACACCTACGATGGGGCACTATTCCTCCCCCCACTGACACCAACGATGGGGCACTATTCCTCCCCCCACTGACACCTACGATGGGGCACTATTCCCCCCCACTGACACCTACGATGGGGCACTATTCCTCCCCCCCACTGACACCAATGATGGGGCACTATTCCTCCCACTGACACCAATGATGGGGCACTATTCCTCCCACTGACACCAATGATGGGGCACTATTCCTCCCACTGACACCTGTGATGGGGCACTATTCCTCCCCCCACTGACACCAACGATGGGGCACTATTCCTCCCACTGATACCAATGATGGGGCACTATTCCTCCCACTGACACCTGTGATGGGGCACTATTCCTCCCACTGACACCAATGATGGACACTATTTCTCCCACTGACACCAATGATGGGGCACTATTCCTCCCACTGATACCAATGATGGGGCACTATTCCTCACACACTGACACCAATGATGGGGCACTATTCCTCCCACTGACACCAATGATGGGGCACTATTCCTCCCACTGACACCAATGATGGGGCACTATTCCTCCCACTGACACCAATGATGGGGCACTATTCCTACCACTGATACCAATGATGGGGTACTATTCCTCCCATTGACATCAGTGATGGGACACTATTCCTCCCACTGACACCAATGACGTGCCACTACTCCTCCCACTGCAAAATTACAGTTATGAAGTAGCAACGAAAATAATTTTATGGTTGGGGGTCACCACAACATGAGGAACTGTATTAAGGGGTCGCGGCATTAGAAAGGTTGAGAACCACTGAAGTAGAGGGCTAAATTTAAAAATATGAACCGATTCCCCCATCCACACATTAGAGATAGATAGGGGAAACCAACGATGGGGCACTATTCCTCCCACTGACACCTGTGATGGGGCACTATTCCTCCCCCCACTGACACCTACGATGGGGCACTATTCCTCCCCCCACTGACACCTACGATGGGGCACTATTCTTCCCCTTACTGACACCTACGATGGGGCACTATTCCTCCCCCCACTGACACCAACGATGGGGCACTATTCCTCCCCCACTGACACCTACGATGGGGCACTATTCCTCCCCCCACTGACACCTACGATGGGGCACTATTCCTCCCCCCACTGACACCAATGATGGGGCACTATTCCTCCCACTGACACCAATGATGGGGCACTATTCCTCCCACTGACACCAATGATGGGGCACTATTCCTCCCACTGACACCAATGATGGGGCACTATTCCTCCCACTGACACCTGTGATGGGGCACTATTCCTCCCCCCACTGACACCAACGATGGGGCACTATTCCTCCCACTGATACCAATGATGGGGCACTATTCCTCCCACTGACACCTGTGATGGGGCACTATTCCTCCCAGTGACACCAATGATGTAACACTATTTCTCCCACTGACACCAATGATGGGGCACTATTCCTCCCACTGATACCAATGATGGGGCACTATTCCTCACACACTGACACCAATGATGGGGCACTATTCCTCCCACTGACACCAATGATGGGGCACTATTCCTCCCACTGACACCAATGATGGGGCACTATTCCTCCCACTGACACCAATGATGGGGCACTATTCCTCCCACTGACACCAATGATGGGGCACTATTCCTCCCACTGACACCAATGATGGGGCACTATTCCTACCACTGATACCAATGATGGGGTACTATTCCTCCCATTGACATCAGTGATGGGACACTATTCCTCCCACTGACACCAATGACGTGCCACTACTCCTCCCACTGCAAAATTACAGTTATGAAGTAGCAACGAAAATAATTTTATGGTTGGGGGTCACCACAACATGAGGAACTGTATTAAGGGGTCGCGGCATTAGAAAGGTTGAGAACCACTGAACTAGAGGGCTAAATTTAAAAATATGAACCGATTCCCCATCCACACATTAGAGATAGATAGGGGAATCCTCCCCATTGTGTACTGTATTCTGGCAGCAGGACTCCCCCACCATTAGAATACACTGATCAGATTCACATCTTCACTTTCAAATTACTACAATGCACATTAACACCACCTGCATTGCCCCCTAATGCAATACAAAGGACCTGCATGTAGGCACACCACAAGGCACAGATGTGCTCTGTTGATGTAGTGTATTGGAAAAAAATGTATGCAGGTTTTTAAACCCCTGTGTTGCTGTGCACTGTCAGCCCATTTAAAATGATGTGTTGCCTTACTACAGTGTAACTCATGTTAACCTGGTGGTGGAAATACACCACAAAAGAGGGCCTCCAGCCATACTGAAGTTTTCAGTTATGGTCTACATACGGCCATGGTAGTTACAATAAAGTACAGTATCTGAGCAGATGCAGTTGTAGCGCCACCCCCCCCAAAAGTAGTTGCTGGATTTCGGGCCTATTTCCCCCACACAGCACCCACAGCCAGGCAAAAGAAATTTTCCACACTCTCTCCAACACCTCACTAAACAGTCTAGGGGTTTTGGTTTTGTGTTTATTTAGGAACGATGAACTTGGGTGGGGAATTGGGGGTGCATGGGATACCCCATGTGACAGAACCAACCAGGACAGGGGCTTTTGGAGGGGACTAGGGGCTAGCCTTCTACTCACTGATTATGGCCCATGGAGGAGACCGGGGATTTTGTCTGCTTCTCCTAGTCAGAGCATGGAAAAGAGGTCAGTTCAGCCTCTGATCACATGGAGAGAGCGGATCAGTCAAGTAAAGACAATAAAGCTTCCCTTCTGGAGTGGATGGAAAGGTGTAATATTAATCATGGACAGGGTAATGGTGAGAGGAAATATGGTGGCCCTCCTGCAGACTGGTTGGAGAAGCTCCTCCACGTGGGACAGAAATATTTATCAACAATCTCTCTTAAGAAATCTATGAGGATAAATTAATTCCGCTGTCTTCAGACTGCTGGAACATTGTATGAGTTTTGAGTTATGATGACTTTTCTAGTGGGCAGATTGCACAGGTTGGGGGCAAGGCATCTGAAAGCTTGGATTAGCTTGGATAGTCAATTAATTAGATAGTTGTTAGCTGCTAGCTGTTATTTAGATCACTGTTAAATGTACTGATGATATTACTGTTTAAAACCGCCCGCCTCCCGCCCGCCATATAGTAATATGACGGACGCAAGGCGGTTCTCTCGTTCTGGGAGGATGTCATGTGACGTCCTCCCATTCTGACCACGCATGCGCAGCTCCCGGAGCGCACAGCGCTTGATCCACAAGAAGATGTCAGATCAATCATGTGATCAGCTGTGTCCAATCACAGCTGATCATATGTAAACAGGGAAATGTCGGTTATCAGCATTTCTCTCCTCACGAGCTGTCACGCTGACAGCTTGTGAGGAGAGGAGAGCCAGTAATTGGCATTCCTCGGAGGGGACATGTACACTGATCATCAGAGCACTGATGATCAGTGTGCCCTGATGATCTGTGTAGCCCCAGCAGCGCCACCTGTCAGTGTCCATCAGTGCCAGCTCTCAGTGCTCATCCATGCTACCTGCCAGTGCCCATCAGTGCCACATCAATGCCACATATCAGTGCCCATCTGAGCTGCCTTTCAGTGTCACCCATCAGTGCCAGTCAGTGCCACCTATCAATACCAGCCAGTGCCACCTATCAGTGCCAGTCAGTGCCGCCTATCAGTGCCGCTATCAGTGCCAGTCAGTGCCGCCTATCAGTGCCACCTATCAGTGCTGCCTATCCGTGCCATATATGAGTGCTGCCTTTCAGTGACCATCAGCGATGCCTGTCAATGCCCATCAGTGCCACCTACCAGTGCCTCCTCATCAGTGCCACCTATCAGTGTCCATCAGTGCAGCCTATCAGTGCCCATCACTGCAGCCTCATTAGCGCACATCAGAGAAAAATCACTTATTTACAAAATTTTATAACAAAAACTAAGAAAAAAATTTTTTTTTTCAAAATTTTCAGTGGTTTTTGGTTTGTTTAAGAAAAAATAAAAAACCCAGAGGTGATTAAATACCACCAAAAGAAAGCTCTTTCTGTCACAAAAAAAATTTAATTAAAGAAATTGGCCTGGGCAGGAAGGGGGTATAAGTGCCCTGTAGGCTAGTGGTTAAAGTTTGCATTATTTAGGATCATGTGATCAAGCTCCCAGGTGGGGTGCAAGGCGGTCCGTGACACCCCCAAACTGCAGAACATTGTAGAACTATGTACAAATAGTTGAGGATCTGCTAAGTCTTTGGCTGCTCTAATCCAAACTGCAAACTCTGCTGCAAAACAGTGGGAATAATAACGCAGCAGCAACAAGGAATAAAAGCTTCAAACAGTTCTGTTAAAGACACGGCACCTGGCTGTATTGCACAGCACCTGGCTGTATTGCACGGCACCTGGCTGTATTGCACGTAACCTGGCTGCTCTAGTCCCAAGGTTAGAGAATTAGTGTGCTCCTGGCTGTCTTGCACTGCATTTGAGCTTCACCTAGTCCCAGACACATGAGGTATTGCACTACATTGTTCTCTCCTTCCCTTAGGGTAGATGGCCGGGTGTACTCACTCCCCTTGAGCAACTCCTAGGATCCAGAGTGCTGTCTTGGCCTTTCTGCTGGACAGGCTGCTTCTGGTCTGACTAGAAGTCTACAGCTAAGCCTAGCTGAGACCTAAGCTGGGTGAGTTTCTGAAGCTCGCTTCTTCCTCCTCTTTCACTCCTTCTTCTCCTCTCTGCCCTAGGGGCAGAGCCCCAGCACAGGGGTCCCTCCAAACAACTTCACCCTGGACTCTGCTCCCAGACTGCCAGGCTCCAGAATATTTAGGGCTGCTTTCCCACCTTCTAGGCCATTCTTCCAAGGGATTGGTGGAAGCTACATACATATACAGGCTGCTGCCTATGTCCTTCCGCCCACTATTTTCTGGAAACATCCAATGAGTTCCAGAATGCAGGGGGAGATGACAGAGCCACAGTCTGTGAAGCACTGCACAGCCTCTTAAATACATTAAATACAATTAACCCCTGCTCCTCTGTCTACACAGGAGCCAACTACATTTTCCAAACAACTAACAAACTAGAAGGGTGCTAAACAATAAATACTAAGGTTTTTTCATCACAGCAAAGGCAGATTAGCATAGCAGCAATAAATGTCCAGCATGCTGGTCCAACCACTCTGCTTTGTTTGCTTATTGCATCTTGAGGCCCCAATAGAAGCTCCAGAGGTCAAGAGGTCATGTAGTTGTTGTTCCTTAGTCCAGCACCATGTGCAAAAATCCACTCGGAGTTGTTTCTGATAAAGCTCTTCTGTTCCATTCACCATGCACATACAGAAGCACCCAATAGACCGAGGAAGACACAGCTGCCTGAACCTTGTTGTGTGTGCAGCACCCTCCCTGTTGCTAGTGTAGGTTCATATAGTTTGGCTCCCCTGTAGGCAGAGGAGCAAGAGTTAATTGTGTTTAGGAGAGTGTGCAGTGCTTCAAAGTTTGCTGATCTGTTACCTCCCCCTGTCTTCTGAAACTCTCTAGATATTTCTAGAACATAGTGGGTGGAGGGACAGAGGTGGCAGTCTGAATATTTAAGAAGCTACCACCAATCCCTGGGGAGGTGGGCCCAGAAGGTGGGTAGACAACCCATGAATACTCAGACCTCTAGCAGTCTGGGAGCAGAGTCCAGGGTCCAGTCATCTAGAAGAGCCCCCTGTGCTGGGAAGTTTTCTTAAGGGACTGAGCGAGTACACCCTAGCCATCACACCCTAAGCAACAGAGAGCACAGTGTAGTGCAATACCGCACGTGTCTGGAACCAGGGGACAGCTTTAATGCAGTGCAAGACAACCAGGAGCCCTCCAATATCTCTAGCTTGGGTCAAGAGCAGCCAGGTTCATTGTAATACAGCCAGGTGAAGCATCTTTAACTTGAACTTTTTGGAATCTTTATCTTTTGTTTTTCGCTGCATCATTACCATTCAGCTGGACTTTAGCAGTCAGAGAATTTAGCAGAAACTCAACCGTTTGTTTGAAGTTTCTTCAGTTCCAGGCATTCCGTGTACTCCCTTTTCCCCATTCAATTTTTGTTTCTAAAATTAGCAGCAAAAACCAAATCCCCTAGACTGTTTATTGAGCCGTCTGGAAAATACCATTTGCCTGGCTGTGGGTGCTGCAAAGGGGAAAAAGGACTGTAATTCAGCTGCTCCATCTGGGGTAGCACTACACATGCAATCCAGGAGAAAATTCACTTTCCTATAAAGTGTTGGAAGTATGATTACGAGGAGGGGCTCTCTTTTGCCTAAATATTAACCACTTCCCATCCACCCTATAGCAGAAATACTGTTACAGGGCAGCATGGGTGCGCAAAATCACCTATATATATGATTTTGCATTTCCGGGTAGGCTGCAACTGTCATTCATCGGGTCCCGGCTGGTGATTTCTCACCAGCGCCCGGTGATTGCCAAGCATCTCCGACGGGGAGGAGAACTGTTTGTAAACAAAACAGTTCTCCCTGTCAGCTCGCAAACACTGCTTTGCATGGCTGTGCACAGCACAGCCATACAAAGCAGTGTGCTTATATTAAAGCGCAAACACGCGGTCCCATAGTAAAACACACCCAGCACACAGTTAACCCTTTGATCGCCCCTCATGTTTACCCCTTCTTGCCCAGTGCCATTAGTACAGTGCCAGTGTTTTGTTTTTAGCACTGATCACTCTATTGGTGTCACTGGAGATGTCAGTGACACCAAGTCAGTTCCCCCCCACTGTCAGAATGCCCGCCGCAATCCCACTATAAGTCGCTGATTGCTGCCATTACTAGTGAAAAAAAAAATTTCAGTATATATACCACCATTTGTAAACGCTATAACTTTCATGTAAACCAATTCATTTACACATATTGGGATTTTTTTTTTTTTAGCAAAGACAAGTAGCAGAATACATTTTGGCCTAAATTGATGAGAAATTTTATATTTTTATTTTTTTTTACTGGACATGTTTAAAGCAAAAAGTCAAAAATATTGTTTTTTTCTCAAAATTGTCGGTCTTTTTTTTTTATAATGAAAAAAATTAAAATTGCACAGGCAATCAAATACCACTGAAAGAAAGCTCAATTCATGGAAAAAAAAAGGACATAAATTTCATTCGGGTGCAGCGTTGCATGACCACGCAATCGTCAGTTAAAGTAACGCAGCACCATAACGCAAAAAGTGGTCTGGTCAGGAAGGGGGGTAAATCCTCAGGAGGGGCAAGTTGTTAACAAGACGTGAAGTGCTGTTTACCATCTCTGTGCTTGTATTTAAAAATAAAACATACACTTCAATTATTATTCCACCAGAGGGCAGCAGAGCACGTTTTATCAGTTCAGCATTTTGAATGTCACACTTATCAGCCCAAATGTTCTCCAACAAAATTAACCTACAAATCAGCAATCACAGGCAAACAGCAAACGTTTCCAATACTGGAAACACCAAAAATGTTTTCTGGTAAAATCCCACCTTCTTAGCTACCTGACATTTTCCAGCACAATGAAGGTGATCTTTCCACAGGCATACCTGAGATGTTAAAGCGAAACTAAAGTGTAGCTGAGCACTACAAACTAAAAACATTATTTAATTCATTTCTGATTTTCTAACCATACTCACTTGTCCATCCATTGTCTCCATGCTTTATTTTGTTGAGAAATTACTTTGAAAAACACCCCCTAGAATTTTTAACCGTGACCATCTTCAGTAAGGGCAGATGATTCATGTAGCATTTACTTCCTGGAATACATCTACCCTTAGCTCAGGCATGCAAGCAGGAGAGAGTGCTTAGCTCACAAAGCCCCCCTCCAGATAAAAGGAAAAAAAAGGACCAGTGATGATTCCTGGGATATATAACACCATTTTAGCCTAGGCCAAACCAGGAAACAACTGAAGAAAAAAAAAAAGTTTACATAAGTGAACATAGACTGCTCAAAAAAATTTTAAAAGAACACTTTTTAATCAGAGTATAGCATCAAGTTAATTAAGCTCCTGGGATATTGATCTTGTCAGTTAAGTAGCAGAGGGGGTTGTTAATCAGTTTCAGGTGCTTTGGTGTTAATGAAATGAACAACAGTTGCACTAGATGGGCAACAATGAGACGACTCCCAAAACAGGAATGGTATTACAGGTGGTGTCCACTGATATTTTTTTTCCTACTCATCTTTTCTGACTGTTTTTCACTAGTTTTGCATTTGGCTAGGGTCAGTGTCACTACTGGTAGTCTAAACAATATGATAGTGTGACAAGAACACACCTATCTGAAAAAGAAGGTTTCTAAGTAATCCACGCGGAGTAGTGTGAATTCAAATGAATTTAACAATACTTTATTTGATCACATAGATCATAGGAAGGTTAAACATGAGCACGGTGTACATATGAAAAAAATAAAATCATGTTAAAAAACACTTAGCGTCTTCAATTTAGGGTCATCTTAGCCAACAGAGCACCATATAAGGCAGAGTGGTGTAATGATGAAATAATTATCCTGGATTTCCGTAGGTTTCCTGCTTAATATTTGTGTGAGCCGTGTATTCAGTGGGTGTGTTCCCAGTGTATATCAGGGACCTCCTGGAATGTACAAGCTGGAACACAAAAAATACATAGTATGTATCTAGCAATATGGAGACCAAATCACATCCAAAATTAACCAGACCTCCCTCCACAATAGTCAATGGATACTGCTGTTACCTTCTCAAAGGTGAAACTATCATACCCGCC